CTTTTTCTCGGACTGGGACCTGTTCATATATGTTCTTGGCAGATGATCCAGAAGTGGTTTGCCATTGCCTTCTTCTGTGTGTGAATGGAGTAATTGTTGGGATGCCACGGAGGAAAACTCCGTGTTGCCTAGACCACGGCCTTGCCCAACACAAGTTATAAATATAAATTGTAATATCCAACCGACAAGCGATATTGAACCCCACCATTCCCAGTTATGCAAGCTTATGAAGGTCAATCACATTACATTATTTTTTAACATTTGTAAATAGCAGATTAATGTTTTTATTTTATTTTTTTGGGTAATGGAGTATCTGTTCACGAACGGTCGTGGTCTTCTTAATTAAAGGCAGTAGGACGTCGTATGAGGCAAGAAAGTGAGAGCAAAATGGAGAGAAACGGCCCCTCGTGTGGCCACGAAGACAACATTTTCTCTTACCCTAGGAAGTCGAAGTCAATGGTGGAATGTTCAGCTTGTATGAGGGCCCATATTGCCCAGAGGAAATGCGACGCCAGAGAAAATTTATTTACTTGCACGTAAAGGCAACTAATACTATGCTCAGTTACAGCATCACTCGCATCTTCGCCGAGAGAAGTGTCCGTGGTGCTGCCGTGGAATGTCTCCAGATAAACTCGTAGCCACTGGCGCTGGAATTCTTGTGAAGGATACGCTGCGTAATCTACGTCTGTCACGCCTGTTTAAAGACAAATACTGGAATTAGTGCTTAAAAAATGGATACTGTATCACCGCAGCGTCTAAAACTCGCAGTAGGGGTCAGAGCGTTGGGTTCGTATTTTTGGGATCTCTCCCCAAACTTTCTTCAGTAAGGAAGTTCCAGTATTGCCAGACTGTACTCACATTAAAAGTTTTTATGGTTTTATTATGCGATGCAAAATTATTATGGTCACTGCTACACATCATCATTTGTTTTTTTAACCTCAGTCACGCTAATTTTGAGAACAGTGAAACTGGTTGGGCACCCTGTAGATTATAGAGCGTGTTTTTTCTGACTGGGTGCTCACTATTCTCTGTGACTGGTACAGAAAGATCATTGGCAACAGCATTACGTCACATCACGCATGTTCTGACAGCAACTGAAAATCCACCCACTGAACAACGTCTCGGCAAAATACATTTTTTTTAAAGCAGAATTTATTAAAGTAACAAGACATTCACTCAGTTGAAAAATGGAATGAGCGGATTCTGCGACCACTCTCTTCAACTTGCAACGAAGAAGACGGACGACATCTTACCAGCGAACTCCGCAAAGTGGTTGCCAATGTCAAAGGCCTGATAGTTGTAGTTGGAATATTCGTAATCAATGAAGGTGACGGTGTTCTTCTTGGTGTGGTAAATGATATTTGCCAGCAGCAGATCATTGTGGCAGAACACAATTGGACTGCCGACACTGCTCAGCTCCGCCTTGAGCTTCGCATACTCCGCCTCCAACTTGCTCTTAGGGGGAATCAGATCCACGAACCTGCGACAAGTCATTGCAAGTTAGCGACCAGTCAGGAAGTCTATTTAATACTTAGTTTTCTTTTATTTATTAATTAATTCATGAAATGACTTTATTATTCATCCACTTACTTCCATTTTATAGATAATCATGTTTATTTATCAGTTCAGGATTATCTTTCCTAACCCTCGTTTTGCTTATACATAAACTGAAATGGATTGTAAATGCACAGGAAGATAATAGCCACGTTCATTCAATCTGTAGTCGGGAAGAGTGGTTATTGCTTGTGATTTCTAATCTGCGTACATGCACTTACGAAGGTGAAAAGTCCCCCGACTCCTTCTGCCTGTTGCAAGAGGCGACAACCCCTTCCACTAATCCCATAAAGGATCCGTCGCTGATGTAGGGTTTCAGAGACTACGGAGTTCTCGATGGGTCAATAAGATGCCAGGCGTTCAGCCGGGTGACAGACTTCAGAAAAAAAGTGACAATGCCGTATCACAGTTTGACATCACGCAACGTCAACAGAAGCGTGAGGACGATCATTGACGATGAGGCGGAAGTCATGCGGTGGACACACTCACAGCCAACTAGAATGCATCTATTAATGGGAAGGGACTGAGGAAAATTACAACCTTCAGTCAGGTCGTGATTTTAACTGAATACGGATCAGAGATGACAATACTAAGGTGACCAAGATGTCTGGAAATGTTCCTAAATTCCTGGAATCTGCTACCAAAGAGTGACATGAAAGTCAGAACAAAGCTGTATTATGATTTGCCCATTGTCTACCGACTTATCCAAAATTTCCTTTAAAAATTTGTAAGAACACAACGTAACACTTGATAGTTTCCATTATTCCGGAATCATAGCCGTCAGTGGTTCATAACACCACCTACTGATATCTCTCAAAATGTGAAAATGAAATACTTCATACAGTGTATTTAAAATATCTTAAGGGTTTTTAAGAACCTGAAAATTAAAGTATGCAAAACAATAATTTTGCCTGTTGTTTTGTATGGGTGCAAAACATGGTCTCTCACTGTGAGGGAGGAACGCAGGTTGCAGGTGTTTGAGAATCGGGTGTTGAGGAGGATATTTGGACCTAGGAGGGAAGACGATGGGGCGTGGAGGAAACTGCATAATGACGAGCTTAAAAATCTGTACTCCTCCCCCAGTATTGTCAGGGTTATTAAGTCGAGAGGAATGAGATGGGCGGGGCATGTAGCGCGCATGGATGGGACAAGAGGTGTGCACCGGGTACTGGTTGGGAAGCCTGAGGGGAAGAGACCTCTGGGGAGACCTAGACGTAGATGGGAGGATAATGTCAGGCGGGATCTATGGGAGATAGGAGGTGAAGGAGACTGGATTTTGTTGGGCCAGGACAGGGTCCGGTGGAGGGCTTTGGTTAATTCTAGTTAGTTAGTCTACTTACCAGTGATTTGTCACTTGGCGTCATTAAGGTAGAAAATATTTTACACAATCGCCTTGTTTTCATTTCTATTTTGGACCGAAATGACCTCACAATAATCGACAGTTGTACAGGTCATATTTTCATAGCACTGAATGAAAGAATCATCACAAGTAGAGAGACTGGAGGGGAGGGATCATAATCCCAGCAGTACCGAGTGCCTACAGGGACTCTGAGAGAAATGGAGAAGTGTCAGCATCACAGTTTCGAGGCCCAGTCTTTAAACAGGGATCTCGTAGAAGCAGGTGCACTAACAACCTCATCATAGTATTTGGTGGGAACTGCCCTGATGATGGAGGTAGCAAAGACCTCTGAAACGTCGCCAAACTTCTACCGGACTACGCGGCATCAACAACCCAGAAGACAGCCATCTTCCAACCTACAATGGCTTAACATCTGCATCGAATTTGATGCATGTGAGCCAAAAATACCACAGTTAAGAGGCACACAATGTCCATCGCCCTCTGAAAGCTTCTGGTACCTGGCTTGTTTCTCGGGATCCTGGAACCTATGCGGCATGATGTCCAGGAACTGCTGGATCTTCAGCCAGACGCTGGGCTCCTTCGACACTGCATCCCCATTACTCACTTTGTGCATGAGAGCCATCATTCTGGCCACTAGCGGGAAGACGTCAGCATCCCGGCACGACGTGGTATTGAGGATCACTCCTGGGACGTATTCATACGCCAACCCATTGCAGAACGTGGCGTACAGACGGGGAGCGTAGCCAGCATTGTGCAGAAGCTGCAGACAAGCATGTCACAAAGATATCACCTCTGAGGAAATGGCATGTCCAAATGACAGAGGGTTTCTACCTCATAATTTCTGAATCAAATGACGAATTTTCATTAAATTTGGTATGGTATGGATATCATATAATTAGATGTTTACCCATACCTTCCATATCATGAATTAATATTAACATTATATATGTGAAATTACTGACATGGGATCAACACTAGCTTTGTCCTGAAATTTATTTTGGTAAAGGATCTCACAAAGTTCTGTTGAGATAATTTTTTATACAGTGTAAAATAACAGAATGGCATATACAGGAAGAGTCAGAAGTATGTTTACAAACTTCGTGTGCATGTTCCAGGATCAAAAATAAGAAAAATTGTTCCTATGAACATGGGATGGCAAATATTTCATTTTCGAAATAATAGCCAAAAATAATTATCAATGTATGTCTGAGATACCACACCCTGTATATTGCCTTTCAATTTTATGACAATAATTAATTTACCATTTTAAGTACGATTATGAACTCTAGCACGGAGATAATATTCTTCTATGTGTTAAGAATGTAACACGTGGTCACAGAGTAAATTATTACAGAAAACATCTGACAGATTTCATATAAAATAAATTTATAATTATAAGCATTATGCATATAAATATAACACCAATTTGCACTTGCAATGATAAACTTTCATTTCACTACACAAACGGACGTATTTCAAAACACGTGTCACATTCTCCTTCCTGAATTTGCTGATGATCACACTTTGACACACGTGCAATTGAAATATTACATTTACGTGTAAGATAAATGACCCACAGCTCATCTACGTACGTTATTATTTGAATTAACATAACCTAAACGTTTCGTAAGCAAAATTCAGCGGCCATTTCTGACCCAAGTCTCTCCTGATTCTCTACCAGATGGCTCTAGCAGTCAAATCAGGATTGAGCAGAAATTGTGCTTGTCACTTCAAAGACAAAGAAAAACCTCACACATGGCGCGAGGCCCAGGCTCCTTGTAGAGAATCTATTAGTCTCTGCCACTCAAATCCCGATTATTTAATAGAAGCCAAATGTTCGTTACCATGCTTACAAGAGCCAAGCCAGATTAATCCAGTTCGAGTTATCATATCCTAGATCTATTTTACCAAGCAAAGAGAGAGAAGGAGATTTAAGAAGAGTTGTAAGAGAGAGAACCTGGATATTACGAGTTTCTGCGTTCCGGTCTATGAGCAGGTCCGTCTTATGCCCGTACACTCTGACGAGAACGACATCTTCTGGGTATTCTTCGTGGAAACAACCCAGCAGCTTGTTGGTGATCCCATCTGTAAAGACCTGTCAAATTTACAACGTTCAATTACTCTGGTTAGGTTAATTACAGCCGAGAATGTCAGCCATGTTAATTCGCCTTCGTGGTTGCCTATCTAACTCAGATGGTAACAAATTGCATAAAAAACTGAGTAAGTTCATAATTCTTTATAAAATGAATTACTAGTCTCCACACTGGACCACTACGTCTTATTTCAATAAATCACGGGAGTTTAGTAACATAAAAAAATTTAAGCGCTGTAAAACAAGCGATTACGCTAATAGACGAATTTAGAATTCATCATATGACCTTGAAAATCAAAATACAGCTTTTTTTTTCCTTTTTGAACCTGGTACTCATCGGATGTCACATACGTAACCACTATCAGCGTGTAACAATTTCTGTCTCATCGATGTTACAGCAGGTAAGGGTCTTTAAAAACACACATTTTTAACTTTAAAACGTGTTTACATGGGGGGAGGGGGGGTAATACGAACACGACGTTTCGGAAGCTGAATATGTTTCCTTCCTCAGGTAAAACGGGACGACGCAACCACAGCTCGCCGCACCGGACCATCCGATTAATAGCGAAGTGCAGAGTTCTACTTTGAATAACAACATCTGATGCAGTGTCGCTTAAAATACTTTTGTTAAATACCCTATTCATTATTTATTTTCTAAATCAAGTTTAAAACATTTTGATTAAAAGAATTAATTTCCATGATGCCACTGATGATGAGCTCTTGAGGTCGAAACGCGTATGGCACTAGTGTCTTTTTTTATAGTGTTAATAGTTGTTTGTTTTGCATATTTTATATTTCTAATACACGGTATGCAAAGTTTTAAGATCATCAACCACGGGGCCACTGTGTAATTCGATTAAACCACACTTACGCAACGTACTCGCGGTCACCACTGCAGAAAACACGTCCTTACGAAGGCCGAACGATTCTACGTATCAATTTTTAGAGTCCAGTGTTAATAAAATGTCCCAGCAGCTTTAACAATCACTAACTCTTCTAATTTTGTATTCATGTGTTTCGTATAATTCTTAGTGTAAACAGCGATTACTTCCTTAAACAGCGTTAACCAGTTAATCTTTGTAATGGTGAAGGGTTGTTTTCTTCGCGGTACGGACTGAATTATTAAATATTATTTGAACGAGCCTCTGCTCCAAATGTTTAATTATCATAATGAAAATCTATTACTTCCTTAAACAGCGTTAACCAGTTGATCTTTGTAATGGTGAGGCGTTGTGTTTTCTTCGCGGTACGGACTGAATTATTAAATATTATTTGAACGAGCCTCTGCTCCAAATGTTTAATTATCATAATGAAAATCTATTACTTCCTTAAACAGCGTTAACCACTTGATCTTTGTAATGGTGAGGCGTTGTGTTTTCTTCGCGGTACGGACTGGATTCTTAAATATTATTTGAACGAGTCTCTGCTCCAAATGGTCAATTAATTATCAGAATAAATATATAATCAGAAACTAGTGGGACATTAGATCAAATTAATTCAAAATCATGGAACATTTGTAGCCACTGGGCACGGAAATCAGTTACAATATTGAAATATTACTGGTATTTATACACGAAGAAACATTTATTAATGATACGATACTCAGGGCAGATTGTAAATAGATCGGGCTTCATAGAAGGTAGCCGGAGTTTGATGGGTTCCGGGTAACATATTTGAAGACGAACTTCGTGCCAAATGGTCCTCGGGACGGGTGAAATTCTAAAATTTCAGCCTGTGCAGACGTCTGACACAAGTTAGGATCATCACTAACTCGCAGTAGTCGTCTTAAATTTGCTAACGAAACGTATAATAAGTCACGAAGACCTAATCCACACAATCCAACCCATATTAACTCCAACGCATTTTGGTGTGTGTGTGTTTTTCATCCACTCGTCGCATACCTCAATGTGCCTGAATCCCCAGACAACCACTGATATCAAATTTAGTACCCATCTCAGATCAATAACACACGGAGAAACACTACACCAGCCAGGCCTCTGTTCTGCCAATCAGAAATAATGCTCCTAGTTGTACTTCAATCTTATCCACCAATGAGATTACTCTCACATTTAAATTATTAATTTTCGTGATTTTCCTCGGCCAGTGCAGGCCGCTATGCCTTCCTTCCGCACTCTTTCGAAATAATTATTAATTAATCATCCCATCATCCGATGTTATGTAAGTCTGGAACACTTACAGCGTTGCCAAATAAATAAAAAATAAAACGAACGTTATCAGTAAAAACTTCTTGTGGTCGTTACGTCATCCACGCTCTGCTGACAGTGACGCGAAACGGACGCCACGTCACGTTTTCATATAATTCCATTTTTCGTATTTTTATTTCATTTTTTCCCCCATTACCTATACAGTTTTTTTTGTAAATATTTTAGTCGACGCCCACATCTGTTAAAAAATACTTCAAAACAACATCAGAATGTTCCTTATCAGTTTTCAGGACGTACAGTAAGTAACAAAATTATGTGAACAGAAAACAACAGAAATTTATTTATCTCTGTTAAAACTTTTCCGTTTATTACAGGCAATTTCACGACTACTTTCACTGTATAAGACGGACACATAGCAGAATTTCATCAATTGCCAAACAGTTTTTCCATTAAAAGCACTAGAATTAATAATAGGGCGCCTAATTAAACACGCTGTAAATTACAATATAATTTCAGTAACTATTTCATTTCGTTTTTATGCATCGACACTGTATAATCTGAGCTACTGGAAAAGCGTCGTTAAATAAACTATAAATAATAATAATTCCAAATAACAAACCAGTTATTATAATCCGAAACAAAAATGGAACTTGTCTCCTAATTTATACAGTAATACCAACTGACAGGAATGTGATTAAGAAGGAAACGGAGATCATATTGAAAGCCAGCGAATGTGGAAAGTGAAATCAAAAATAATCCCGATAATTACAGGAGCAACTCGAACTGTCTCCAAGTCACTCAGAAAATATTTGGCCAAAATCCCGGGCGAACACGACATCAGGGAACTTCAGAAAACCACCATTTTAGGATTTTCATACGTCATTCGAAAGACGCTGTCGTAAAATATTTAGTCATCCCTCACAATAAAACTATTTAATACATGTAACATTTATTAGAAACGAAATGTACTTCGGAAATAGCTGCTGTGCTATGTACCTCAGGGACAAGGTTTGTCTCGGATACTTCGAAGTAAATGCCCTGTAAAGTGGTGAATAGATGAGATAATGATGATAATAATTCCCACAGCCGACAGACAACGGCTCAATTATTCCTCCGACCTCAAACGTTCGTAAGGAATCAGTAAGATAAGAGACTTAAAAATTCTCCTGACGAGGGCAACGAACTGCTCATACAGAGTTAAGAGGGGGGCAAACCACCTAGTCCTCTGTTTATGCAAAACGCCCAGATTAAAGACCTTTGAACCCGAGGGCAAATAACGTTTATCGGCCCATAGACAAACTCGGTATCAAGGAGGCCGTGTTCCCGGGGATCTCCAAATCGAGGTGGCCACGGCCGTCACAGTCCCTTCGTTCAGCTGGTATGGACTGGTGCAGAGCGCATGTCGGATTACGTAACACAAACCCTGGTCTGGATCTCAAGGTATAAAAGTCTTTATAGCTTGGCATTTTCCATTGTTTCTCATGATCCCTACCTCCTCTCTGTGTCAACGAGCAGACATGTTCAGACCTCACAGCTTCTTCTCCGACCATTTAACGTGTTACATTTGTTCCTAAAAGCCTTTGGTTTATTTTCTTCGGCGAAGAGAATCGACTGCTGTATTGTTCCCCAGCGGATGGTTCGATCGGTCCCAGGGGCTTGCATTCTGTGAGGTTTCACCCCCAGCGGGGCTCATTCCCGCAGGGCCTTTGCCCCCTTAGTCATACTCCCCCTTGCGGCTTAGCAACGAGGTCTCAGTGCCCAGGTCAGCCCTGGAGGTTTTCAAAATCCACGGCTTTGCTCTGACAGGACCTGAACTTCTATAACCTTCCGTTACTCCGGATTAGACCACGCCGGGCTTGCCAGCTCTGCGACAACTCAAATGGGTTTGAACACACAGCGATATGTCACCTCCGGGTCTGGCATACCTTAAGGGTACCCACGGAGGTTACCTCCACCCAACTTCCTGCAACCCCTGGGAAGAATTTCCTTCGGATACCCCTTTGTCTCTGCCGTCACACGTCAGATAATCCAGGCGTCAGTGGACAGCGATTTCCCTGTCTTTCTGTCCAAGGCCAGAGGCTCAGGGTAAAGTTATCGACTGGCAATTCAGTCGTCACAGAACAACAAATCCGGCATGGACAGCTCGTCCAATGGCGCGCAAGGAAAGTACGTTATATGCACGCGATCTGAAAGGCACCCTGACGACACGCGTGGTCCTTAAAACAACATATTACGTTGAAGACGGCTGTCTCTTCTGAGTTGTTACGCCGTGTAATCTGGTAGAAATTTACCGACGTTTCAGAGGTCCATGCTGCCTCCATCTTCACGCAAAAATCTAAAGTCTTAAATTGAAAACTCTGTTCTTACATTCGGGAGGAAACTGACGCCGTAAATTTATTGCTATCAACATGAAATCGTTAATATTTTCACGTGATTTCAAATATGACAACAAAGATTTATAGTATCTAACATTTCTCTAGAACTACGGTGAATGTTGGACAAATCACGAAAGCCCGGTGACCATGTTACCATCTTTTCGTCAGTAAGCCTGCATATTTGGCCTAAATATGCAGCAAATTATAATATTATTATTTTAAATTAAATTTAAGTTCTCCCTTGCACATATTATTAAATACCACGCCATGAAACTTGTGGGGCTCCACACTTTATGAACTCAGGACTAGATGAATGTGTGGTTAGCTTCGAACCCCGTCCACTTTACCTCCGGGGAAAGATTCCCCGGTATCCATTGGATGCAACTGTATTTAAATTTAATTAACACAAACACATTCATGTATTTACGAAAACACTGCTACAGTTTTCTTGGCAAAGCTGAACCTTTAAATTATCGAACGAGGTAATATCGGATTTCACATTCAATATGTTTGATCGCAAATTATATTTTGGTTTTAACCTTTTGTTTTCTTAAAGACTAACACGGCCAAATAAAAATGAACGCCGGTTGCAAAACGCGCCTAAGAGAATTAGTTGGAGTGAAAATATCGTAACTGCCTTGTGACTTACACTCGTTAAAACACGATCACAACTGAAGGAGAAGATGGAAGAATTATCACCATACTTCCTATGACACACCACGGCTCATTCCAAGCTCCTAAAATTGAGGTTAGATTCAACTTCGCTGTTCCAACGAGTGCCATCTGGGACCGGAAGGGGGGGGGGTGACGCCTTATCAGAACGGCGCGGAATACATTTTGGTAAATAACACGCGATTTTAAACTCACACTACAGAACTTACCTTGAAATTAACTTTTTCCTTGGCCCACGTAGGTCGAATGATACTGAGAACCGTCACAGATCCATCAATCAGTTTATCTTCTGAGATAGTCAACGGAATGTGAACAGGGGATTGGTTCATACTGGTGGCGCTGCTCTGACTGAAGGCCTCGTGGTGCTGTTTGTTATATTACAGCTGCGATATGCCAACGTCCTGACCTTCGACTGGCAACCATTACATAATCCCCACTAGCGGTCGAGATCTACTCCGAACAATAGAACACCAACACGCGAACACGAAGTAGCGACTATCTTAAACTTCACTTCACAAACACATTCACTGTTCTCGAAACAATTGAACAACGTTGTCAGTTCACACGTTGTTTTCAATTGTCGTGCCCTTAATCATAAACAATTGCACGTCCACCACGGTAATTTCCCGGTACGTCTTGTAACTGCGTCGTGAACAGGGCAATGTAGTGTTGAAAGGGAAACTTTAGTGCGAGGAACTGTATCCGGTCAATGAACACCTGAAACTACAGAACAGAGTGTTTTCAAATTAGGCCACAAAGAGCAGCGACAATGTTGTTGTGGGGAAATAATGTTAGGTCCACCATTCGCACTCAATATTCACTGTCTGATCGTAAAGGATAAAATTGGCATCCTTAGTTTAATATAATATCTTAACATTCTAATATAATCCATTTCATTTACTCGACGTATTTAAATATGAATTTATTTATCATAATAGAGTATCACAAGCTTTAAAGTCGAAAGTCCCATCTCATGTACTAATTCCACGTAGACGACTTTCTATGTGTATGTACCCACCTGAAGACGACTGTAAGTGTCGAAACACGTACTGCAGTTTATAGATAACGTATTTATGTATCTAAGTGTTGTGGTAATGGCCTTCCGTTTAAAAAAAATAATAAAACTACGAATTGTGATAATGTCTCAGAATTTATATGGGACGACAGAGTAAAACCTGCAACTTTCCAAATGTAGCCATTCTCTGTGCCGAGATTCGAACCCTTGATATCCAGATTATGAAGCGGAAATTATGACATGTGGCGTTCTTCATTTATTGTCACGCGATGTTATGGATTATTCGGAATTAATATACAGCAATTCAACTGGAGTTAACTGGAAT